CTTTGCAGGACCCCAGGACTAGAGCGCCCAGTCTGCGCCTCTCACCACTTACTCCCCAAAGCTGGTCTCTGCCCATGTATTTTCCCTTTACCTCTGAGTCCTCTTCCAGGGGCACAGGTCCTGACCTGATCATTTTTGCTTCCTTCCTACCTGACTACATGTGAGTCTTTCTTACAGCCTTGGTTGTACAGGAGTCTTTCTGCCAGTTTCTAGTGAGAATTGTTCCACACGTAGACTTAGTTTGATGTATTCATTGGGGTGGGGGTGAGTTCCATGTCTTCTTATTCCACCATCGTGATCAACCCCTCTAATATTCCTTATTAAGAGAGTCAAAAAGTAAAAACATTTTAAAAATGTGTAGAACTTATGCAAGGCTTGTGTAAAATTGGTTTGCAGTTTTTCTTGTTTTATTATAATTCAGGATTACTGTACAATTGAAAAGTAACTTTTAGCTGAATTTGTCACCTTCCTTCCTGTTCAAACCACAAAATGGGGTCAAACACCAAACTCTTAACAAAAACAAAATGCAAAAAGCAAAAAAACTCATGTGAAAAAGCTTATTCTGGTGCAAAGTAACTTGTAAGGACAGTTAAGTAAACTTTTTCCCCAGTATTAGAACTGATTATTGTCTTTATGAACATTCTTAATTCCTAGTAATAAAATGTTGTACAGATTAGTTTTTAGTCAGATGTCAAGGACCAATGTAACTTTAAATGCTAGGGGTTTTTTTTTCACCTAAAGTTTAATTAGAATACATCCAAAGTTGAAAATTATAATAAAAAATAAAAGTCCAAAGTGCTCACAAAGGATTCAACAGATATGAGAATTAACCAGAAACAAAAGATAGAGTCAAATAAATTGAGAACTGAAAGGAACTAAAAAGTTTATCTAAACGAAACCTTTCCATTCTATGAATGAGTTAAATAGGTCCCAGAAATGTTATATGGCTCACATTCACTCAGCTAATTCATGCTAGCACAGAAATAAAACACCAAAATTTCCATTATGATCCTTCTTACCTACCACCGGAACAGTTAGTGTATTAAGTAATATAACAATGGAAAATACCTCTCTTTGTTTTTATACCAATGTGGTGTTACTGACCCATCATCCCCGAGTTTGAATTGGATCTTTTTCCCTAGAGTGAGTGATGAATTTATCCAGAGCCTCCTCTACTTATACAGTCCAGTTCCTCTTAGAATCAGTGGCATGGAGCTGCCTGATAGTTGACAAGGGTCTAGATCTATAGCCAAGAAAATGAATTTTTCTTGCAAAAAGATTGTTGACACACTTAAATTGATTATATGACTTTGCCCTTATCAGAAACATGCTTTTACTGGGAAATTCAAATAGTTTACTCGTAGATGTATCTATCATTAGTATCCACAGTTATTCTAGTTGGGGACTGAATATATCCACATGAACCTTGTGAGAGATGAGAAATGTTGTTCCAACATTGGAACAACAATCTCAAATGCAGAGAGGGTGTACATTTAATTTCTAAATTACACATTTGTTGATTATTCTTAAGATATTTCCCAGGTAAACATTATTGGGAATGATACCAGCATGTATTAATTAAAGAAATGGAAATTTCTATTTGAGCCTCTTTTACACGTTAAAATATCTGCAGAATTTGCTGTGGTCATAAAGTATATTAATGGGAAAAGAAAATTCTTTTAAAGATGTAAAAATATGTATTCCTTGAATATTAATGCTTGTTTCCATACAGTAATTAAAATAACTCAGAAATGTCTTGGTACTTGAAATATCTAGCTCATCACTTTCAATGATTCATAAATTCTACTTAATCCTCATTGAATTCTATAACTTTAAATTTAGTTGGGCTCTTATGTACTATATATCCTCAGATACTTCCTTCTCTTTTTTTTATTTTTAGCCAATGGGAAAGTATTTTGAATATCTATGTGAATATAATACCAGATAGATAGAAACTCAACATGTGCACAGTAGTGTCTAGTAACATGTAGGTCTACACCAACATCCTTTCTTCCTCTATCCCCACATTAATGTCACTTTATATCATGGCGGCAGAAGGGAGGGTTCCCTATTAAAAAGAGTAGGTTAGCAAAGCTTCCCTTTCCAAAATAATAATTCAGCTCCACCCGACTCAAACCTTGTACTCCAGCCAAGCTGATCTGTGACGTTTTTGCAGAAACTTTTCTGCCTTTTTTCCATCTCAGCTTTTGTTAATGCCTTACTTGTTGTGTATAACCATCTCCGTAATCCACTTATTAAAACTCTACCTCATGTCCTTGAAGTCTTTATTTCTGGCAAGAAGAAACCTCTCCTCTCTTACAGCTCTGACTCATGCCTTCATAATACAACTATTTCTCTGAAGTCTTAACATTCTATTTATCAGTCAGACTAAATCTTTGTTCTTCTAGCCTGATCTGATTGAGCTTACATTTATTATGCTAGCAGCTTTCATATTATCTCTTTTTATTTTCCCCAATTGCCTAATGTGGGACTTTCACAGGAAAACTATTGAGCAAACATCTGAAAGGTGAAAGTATAATTGAATGAATTAATATTCATATCTCACTGATGAGTCCTTGAAAACAGAGAGCTTAATCTATTACTTCTAGTTAGGGAAATAAATAACATAAAAACATTGCACATTTTGTGTGTGTGTGGGTCTATACACATATTCCAATATTGTTTACCTGGGAAATGTTTTAATATCCATATACTCACCCACACATGTACATTTATTAGCCAAATAAGTAATATAAATAACCAATCTTGTTTGTACATATGTTGGAAATGAAAATAAAGAAATAGCATTTTTATTCTTTGAATCAATACCTTTGACTTGTAACAGATACTCCTTAGGAACATTCAGAATATTGGTCACTTTTGTAATTGAAGGCAGAAACACTCTGTCTAAAGCAAATGGACTCTGTCTTCAGAATGGTGATAAAAGTTTACATTTAATACCTAACATGACCTCATCCCTTATTTGTTTTATTTTATGGATTCATTCTATTGTATTTTTTATTTGGTTCTAGCTGAAAATTAGGCCTAATTGTCTATTTTAGGCTAAAAGTATCTTGGATACCTAGATAATATTAAGTTAGGCAATAACTGATTCATGAACTTTATGCTTGTTTGTATAAACCAAATATATAAGGCTCTTCACACCATTGTCCAGTGATCTCTTTTTTTGGAATCTCATTAATTAATTAGAAATACTGAACTACTACCACTCCTATTGATTATAACTAAGTTTATAACTAAGTTTTGGTCAAAAAGAAACAACAGAATAGGGACGTGTATACTACAGGGAGCTAGCAAACTTGCACTAGTACTTGGTGTTTAAGGGACAAGGTTAATTGACTCCAGAGAGCAAATGGTTGTTATTGTTTTCTGAAATTAATGGAGTTTATTTCTAGAATATGAAGTATCACATTTTCATCATTTAAACATTAATATATGTTGCGTAACAAAGTTACTATTTATAACATATTAATACAATTTTAAATCCATGGGTAGTCATATGTTGGCAGATAATCTCTAGTTTTTAAAAAGCTTCAATATGCTTAAGAACTATGTAGAGGTGAATTTTCAGATTTAGTTTAAACAAATATCTTTCTGAGTGTGTTGAACTCATTTACCACCACCTCACACACAGACCAGTGTAAACTATTAAATTACAGTTGATGTTAAGAAGTGTATTAATTTGCTAGAGCTGCCATAACAAGATCCCACAGATTGGGTGCCTTAAACAACATAAATGTATGTTCTCACAGTTCTGGAGGCTAGAAGTCTGAGATCAAGGTGTCAGCAGCATTGATTTCTTCTGAGACCTCTCTCCTTGGCTTTGTTGGTGGAGTTATTCCTCTTTCTTCACATGGTCTTCCCTCTGTGCACACACACGTCTGTATCCAAATTCCCTCTTCTTATAAGGATATCAGTCATATTGGATTAGGCCACCCTAAAGACCTCATTTTAACTTATCTTTTTAAAAACCTATCTCCAAATATGGTTAACTTCTGAGGTACTAGGAGTTAGGGTTTCAACATATTTATTTGGAGGAAAGGGAGGAGCAACACATTTCAGCCCATAGCAAGAAGGGTGTGTATGTGTGTGTGTTTTCACATGCTCTGATTATTAAGTAAATGAAGTGATTTAAGATGACAATTAAGTGGTATATTTATTGGTTTAATTTAGGAGATATTTGTATATGATCAGCTTACTTAAAAAAAAACCCCAAGTAGAAATAAGAAACAGTAAATTTTAGTTCTGATGCCAACCTTCACTCAATGTATTTAGCTAGCATTTATCAAGTACTAAAGGCATTTTGCTGGCCAGTGATACTAGCTGATAATGTTGAGCAAGTCATGAACTATTATTCCTCATCTGCAAAACAATGATTAGAAATCTCTTTGCTTACCTCATGAGATTGTTCCACAAATAAAATAAGAAACAGAAGTCCTTTGAGAATGTGCCAGCCAAGTCATTATTAATGGGATTTAAAAGAATAAATCCTGTTTCTTCGTGTTGCTCTTTTACCCTAGAACTTACATGAATGTTTTACACATTATAAGTAGAAATGCCAACCACTTATTAGTGGGAAATTCTTAACATATTGAGCATTATCAAATTCAGGAAGTCAACTGTCATATAACAGAAAGACATGAAGTCTGACAGCCAAGTTTAAGGTTCACCTCTTGCCTGTACTAGCTGAGTAAACCTGCTCAAATCATTTAACCTCTTGAGATCTATTTATGCATTTGTAACTGAAATATATCAATACATATTTCACAGGGAACCATTTATAAGGAATAAATGTGATAACATAATCATTTGGTAAACTATAACTCACTATCAACATATAAGATAATGGCATATTATTTAAAATATGATTTTAAAGTGACCGAGCAATCTGTTAGTGAGCTTTATTTAAATTAGAACAAGCAGTCTAATGCCCAAGCATGTTATGTTTATTTTATCTTAAAATTGTGCATTTCCAATAGATGTGCTGCACAAAAGATGGAGCATAGTATCTTCACCAGAAAGGGAGATCACCCTGGTTAACCTGAAAAAAGATACAAAGTATGGCTTAGGTAAGTCACTGAGATTCTTAAAGGTCTGTGAAGTTCAAAGAGAAAAAGTCAGTTGCATAGCATTGGCATTGAGGCCCCAGCCCACTTCTGCCTACCTGCATCCCCTTTACCCAACCTGCCCAGTCAGGAAATGTCAAAGATGAAATGCTTACAAGCAATATTTCCACCAAATTTAAGTCCCATCTCACATGTGTTACCTATTAAATTATATTTGATATGAGACTACACTTCTATGTGTCACGCAGGCTAATCATTAGTCCTTGAAAGCACCAGTATCATGAAGATCCTTTTATTTTTATTTCTACTTATTTTTTTATTGAAATATAGTCGATTTATAATATCATATAAGTTTCAGGTGTACAACATAGTGATTCACAATTTTTAAAGGTTACACTCCATTTATAGTTATTATAAAATATTGGCTATATTCCTGTGCTATATAATATATTCTTGTAGCTTATTTATTTTATACATAGTAGTTTGTACCTCTTAATTCCCTACCCCTATCTTGCCCCTCCCCATGAAGATCTTTTTAAAATGTGCTATTTCACAGGATTTCAAATTATTGGTGGAGAAAAGATGGGAAGACTGGATCTAGGTATATTTATTAGTTCAATTACCCCTGGAGGACCAGCTGACTTGGATGGATGCTTAAAGCCAGGTATTTATTTTTAGGTAATTTCCTAAGTACTTAACTGACAGGCATGAATTTGCACAGATGGCAAAAGTAGAACTTGGGCAAAACAAAACTAATGAGGGGCAGGTAGCATTTCTAAGATTTAGCATGAATTTCTCTTTGATATAGAAAATATTGGATCGTCTATTTTTACAGGAGACCGTTTGATATCTGTGAATAGTGTGAGTCTGGAGGGGGTCAGCCACCATGCTGCAATTGAAATTTTGCAAAATGCACCTGAAGACGTGACACTTGTTATCTCTCAGCCAAAAGAAAAGATATCCAAAGGTAATGTTGTGAATGTCTCTTAGCTGTGTGTTCTGTTTCACTTTCCACAAAAATTTCAATATGTGGAGCAATAAATTAGATTTAAACTTATTTCCTTTCTGGAAATGTAATATGTGTAGTTCTGATTGCTTTAATTTTATGCATCAGTATAACTTTTTCATTCATCACTTCTAAGATTTTCTGTCTTATTCTTCTTTAGTAATACATGCATAAAAATGGATTTGTTGTGCAAAATCAATATCACTTAATTAAATTCTGAGTACTCGGTGTGTTCCATCACTTCTTAGGCCAAATCAGAAATAAAATTCTTAATAATTGCCTAATTAATATAGTTATATAACAGTTACCTATGAAGTCCTGTCATGAACCTGATTATAAAAGGAAAAGGATACCAACACACCAGAAATGTAGAAGCAAGACCGTATCATTTTGTCTCATAATCCCTGCCATTAGCATGTTGTGACAAAAAAGGCCCTTGACAAAGACCAGATGACTTGAGTTCAAGCCATACCTGAGCCACTTATTAGCTGTGTGACAAGTCCTCTTGAGCTATGGTGGTTTTTCTTTCTTTAAAGCGGATACAGTGACCTGGCCCTGCCTCGTCTGTCTTGCACAGAGTTGTCACGAGGATCAAGTGGTGGGGCAGTGTTAGAAAGCAGCACACACAGCATGTGCAGTGAGCAGTGAGAAAGGCTCAGAGTCCAGGGGCAGATTCTGTCTCACTGCTTAACACTGTATACTTCTTACTGACTTTTAGGAATTCTTTGTATATTATTTAAGTTTTCCTTATTTCGCTTGCCATGTAAGACTTCATTTCTAATAAACTTGCATCTGTAATTCTTTTACGCATGTCACCTGTGGATTGTGTCCTAGGAAAGCTTTCATAAGTGGCTTTTTGAAAGAACTATGTATGTAAGGAATTCGGAGTTGCCTTCCTTGATAATTACTTGGAGTCCAAAAAATGCAGTCTGATAAGACAATATAAAACAAGTAAATATATAACCATTAAATAAGGATCAAGGATTTTTGGAGATTCAAGTTATCTCTAGTTAGGGAATTGAGAAAGTCTTCACAGGGGAGATTCACTAGAAATAGGTCTTGGAGAATGGAAATGAGGAGTTAAGGCAAAGGGGGTCCACATTTCCATAGAAGCTGCGGAAAGAAAGACCCAAAGAGGAAGCAAAGGAAACAGAAAGCATCTGCTACATTTGTTGAGTCCTTGTCATGGTTCCAAGCCCTGGTTCATGTGTCGTACATGTGTTATCCTGTGTAAAATCCTCCCAACAATCACCAGGGAACATTGTGCATATATGTAAGCACAAACGTGTCACTAACCTGTTATCCTCATTGACGGATTTTGACTTTTCAGTGCCTTCTGCTCCTGTGCACATTGGCATTGGCATGAAAAACTACATGAAGAAAGCTTCCTACGTGCAAGACAGTGCTGTAAATTCTTCTGAGGATCACTGCTGGCCACGTGGCACCCCAGGGCACACCTCAGATAGCTCATTTGGGCTGTCTGGGGGCCTGCGGGAGGGAAGCCTGAGTTCTCAAGATTCCAGGACTGAGAGTGCCAGCTTGTCCCAGAGCCAGGTCAATGGTTTCTTTGTCAGCCATGTAGGTGACCGAAGCTGGCAGGAATCAAAGCACGGCAGCCCTTCCCCATCTGTGATATCCAAAGCCACTGAGAAAAAGGGGACTTCTACTGACAATAACCAAAGCAAAGCTAAAAAAGCAGGCATTTATGATGCAACAGATTACTCTGACCGTGGAGATTCAGACATGGATGAAGCCACTTATTCCAGCAGTCAGGATCATCAAACACAAAAAAAGGCATTGTTTAATTTGAATCTTTGTTTTTTTCACTTAATAAAGCAAACAACAGCAAATATATTACAGAGCAGAATAATCTACTATAAACTGAGTACATTGTTCTGGAAAGGAGAAATAGTTTATATATTATGCTACTAACTGCTACTGCATTTGATGCTAACTTTCAGAGAAATTAGCAGCTTTGAATACTAACTCCAAAATGGCTGTCATTCTGGGAACTTGCTACATGATTACATAAAGGAATGAATAATCAGATTATGATTGTTTTCTATAAATTGTTTATCTCTTGATATTTATATTAATAAGAAAATTTAATATCTGAAAAAATAGTTCCTAAATAGTTCATATAATGGACAGTTGACTTTACTATTGTTAGCCTAAATTATTCTGAAGTTCTGAATGTATGATAATAAGAGCAACAAAATAGAAAATTGTTCATTTCCTAGAAATTTTAGAAATGATATAAATTTATACGCATATTCACAAGCGGGTTCAGAAAAGAACCTTAAGCCCTTTGTTCACTGAAAAACATTCCTCGTAAGAGAGTTATGTCCTTATAAACTGGGCTTAGCTGTTGTGTCTGTGTTTATAGTGGATTTGTAAACATTAGCAAAGTAAACATGAGGCCTACTCATCTTAAAGGCCCAAGTTAAAAGCTACTGCTTGATATGTATTGTTTTTTAAATGAAATGAAAATACTTTCTAAATTTGAGTGTATAAAAAGCATTGGATAAGGATTATGTAAAAGCCAGGTTTGAACTGGGTTCTGGGCTTCCCTCTGCCATATCTGTTTGACCTGAGGAAAGCCCTTTAATCTCTAGACCTCAATTTCCTCAACCATAAACTATGAAGGCATTGGATTAGATGATCCCTAAGATCTCTTCCAAACTTCATGATCTTCAGATCTACTCTGTCCCTTAATGTCTTACTTTTTCTTAATTTAAAAAAAAAACACATATTGATCTTCCATTAATAATTCAGTTTGACTCTAACAAGAAATCCTGTTTGTTTTTCTTTATTAAGGAATCTTCCTCCTCAATGAATACATCCAACAAAATGAATTTTAAAACTTTTCCTTCATCACCTCCTAAACCTGGAGATATCTTTGAGGTTGAACTGGCTAAAAATGAAAACAGCTTGGGAATAAGTGTCACGGTACTGTTTGACAAGGTTTTCAAATGTTTTCTCTTCTCCATTTCCAGCAGCCTATTGTATGTCAATTTATTAATTGAATTATTTTGCTTCAAAAGGGAAACTTGTCAAATATTTCCAAAATTAAAAATTGAATTATATCTTAAGACTTCTTTTAAAAAACTTGAGTGTGCTACTCACTTTTTCCTGTGGTTTAAAAGAAATTAGACAAATGCTGTTTTCCCCCATAGATCTCATACTTGCTTAATCTGAATACAAGACTTGAAAAATATAAAATTATATTTTGTTTGTTAATAAGTAACATACTTATTAACAAATAAGTATGTTTTGTATACATTTGACGTCTTCTGCATTAGCATGGAATAATACATTTTAACCTACATTAAAATAATTAAAGTCTAATAAATGTTTATATGGCCTTTCGCTTCATAATACATCTTAACATGTAAATATGATTAGTATCTTAATATTAGAAGTTCCCAAGAATATATGTAGTACTTTTAAAGTAGGTAAAATATGAGCATAGGCTATTTGATGAAATCACTTTAGAATTCTATTAATGAATACACTGTACCCTAAGTGTAACATTATCATTTATGACATTTGAAGGATATTGTTAGTTATGAAAAGCCATTTAGAAGTAAGGTAGAAATAGCACTCTTAACATATAGAGATCAAAAAGCAAACCTACTTTTCTTTCAGTTTTAATAATACTGTAACCCTTTCCCCCTTGTTCATAAATTCTTTGGAATTTTATTATCTTCCTATTGTGAAGGGAAATAAAAGCTGAATATCCACAAGAGATGGAGAATCTACTCATTAGATCTCATCTACACTGTAACAAAACTTGTATACCAACATCTTTTAAAATGAAAAGAAAATTTTCCCTTGACTCATGAGATTTGCTTTCAGATTAGCAAATATGATCTGAAGTATATTATTACATATGCTGTTTTTTCTGACAGTTATATTCTCACACTAATATTGCATGGATGGATTTTTGCTTGCTGCTTGTGTGTAATGCATGGTATAGACTTATAAAAGGAAGAGCAACTCCTCATACAGTCAAGATCTGGCATGTTGTTATTTTCTGAATAAAGAATTTTTCTAAAAAAGTAACTGCTTTAACATTTGGAAAACTTACTAGAAATATTCTTGGGTATTGAAATAATTGCATGTGCTGATGTGATGCTGCTGCTTTGGCTGATGAATTGAATGCTTTCTATGTCTCAGATTTGAAAGATAGAGTGGGAAATTTTTCATATTACAAAATGCTATTTTATTTGTCTTTTTCCGCTTAGGGAGGTGTGAATACCAGTGTCAGACATGGTGGCATTTATGTGAAAGCTGTTATTCCCAAGGGAGCAGCAGAGTCCGATGGCAGAATTCACAAAGGTAGACTGTTTGTGTGTATGGGAATTACACATAGGATTATCACTTCAACAAATAAAGAAGAAATTGGAAAGTTGATACAGATGTTCAAATTATTCATAATATGAAATAAGAACATATCAATTATTTTAAGACTACAGCATTAAAAAACTCCTTGATATAATTCCAAAAAAAATATTTTTTTTTGGAGTATAATTGCTTTACAATGTTGTTAGTTTCTGCTGTAGAACAAAGTGAATCAGCTACATGTATGCATATATCCCCTCCCTCTTGAGCCTCCCTCCCACCACCAACCCCCACCCCCACCCATATCCCACCCCTCTAGGTCATCACAGAGCATTGGGCTGAGCTCCCTGTGCTATACGGAGCTGTAGCAGCAGCTTCCCACTAGCTATCTGTTTTACACATGGTAGTGTATATATGTCAGTGCTACTCTCTCAATTCGTCCCACCCTCCCCTCCCCGTGCTGTGTCCACAAGTCCGTTCTCTACATCTGCGTCTCTTTTCCTGCCCTGCAAATAGGTTCATCAGTACCATTTTTCTAGATTCCAGATAAATGTGTTAATATATGATATTTGTTTTTCTCTTTCTGACTTACTTCACTCTGTATGACAGACTGACTCTAGGTCCATCCACATCACTTCAAATGACCCAGTTTCATTCCTTTTTATGGCTGAGTAATACTCCATTGGATATATGTACCACATCTTCTTTATCCATTCATCTCTTGATGGACATTTAGCTTGCTTCCATGTCCTGGCTATTGTAAATAGTACTGCAGTCAGTGAACATTGGGGTACATGTATCTTTTTGAATTATGTTTTTCTCAGGGTATATGCCCAGTAGTGGGATTGCTGGGTCATATAGTAGTCCCATTTTTAGTTTTTGTTTTTTGTTGGTTTTTTTTAACACCTTTATAGGAGTATAATTGCTTTACAGTGGTGTGTTAGGTTTTGCTGTATAACAAAGTGAATAAGCTATACGTATACATATATCCCCATATCCCCTCCTTCTTGCATCTCCCTCCCACTCTCCCTATCCCACCCCTCTAGATGGTCACAAAGCACCGAGCTGATCTCCCTGTGCTATGCGGCTGCTTCCCACTAGCTATCTGTTTTACATTTGGTAGTGTATATGTGTCCATGCCGCTCTCTCACTTCGTCCCAGCTTACCCTTCCCCCTCCCCATGTCCTCAAGTCCATTCTCTACGTCTGCGTCTTTATTCCTGTCCTGCCCCTAGGTTCTTCAGAAACTTTTTTTTTTTTTTAAATTCCATATATAGGTCCATCCACCTCACTACTAATAACTCAATTTTGTTTCTTTTTATAGCTGAGTAATATTCCACTATATATATGTGCCACATCTTCTTTACCCCTTCATCTGTTGATGGACACTTAGGTTGCTTCCGTGTCCTGGCTATTGTAACTAGAACTGCAGTGAACATTGTGGTACATGACTTTTTGCATTATGGTTTTCTCAGGGTATATGCCCATTAGTGGGATTGCTGGGTCATATGGTAGTTCTATTTTTGTTTTTTAAGGAATCTCCAACTGTTCTCCAAAGCAGCTATACCAATGACATTCTCACCAACAGTACAAAAGGATTCCCTTTTCTCCACACCCTCTCCAGCATTTATTGCTTGTAGATTTTTTGTTGATGGCTATTCTGACCATTGTAAGGTGATACCTTATTGTGGTTTTGATTTTCATTTCTCTAATAATTAGTGATGTTGACCATCTTTTCATGTGTTTGTTGGCAGTCTGTGTGTCTTCTTTGGAGAAATGTCTGTTTAGATCTTCCACCCATTTTTGGATTGGGTTGTTTGTTCTTTTGATGTTGAGCTGCATGAGCTGCTTGTATATTTTGGAGCTTAATCCTTTGTCAGTTGCTTTGTTTGCAAATATTTTCTCCCATTCTGAGGGTTGTCTTTTGGTCTTTTTTATGGTTTCCTTTGCTATGCAAAAGCTTTTAAGTTTAATTAGGTCCCATTTATTTATTTTTGTTTTTATTTTCGTTACTCTAGGAGGTGGGCCAAAAACTCTTATTTTAAACTTATTCTCTCGTATCAGAAAATATCTTGACAGTGTTTTAGTTCATGTTTTGTATTGATACTTTCTAAGAAGCAAATTGCCAGAGATTGTAAAAGGGATATTGCCCTTGCAAAAACACTGACATCTGCATTTCTAATAAGAACTAACTAGGTTTGTTCTCTCCAGTCTCTCTACGTTTGTAGTTCAGTTTATCTTTTTTCCCTAATTTAAACTGATTTTATAATATATACAATATTCTGTTCTAAAATGATTAGCCATAAGGCTTCCCTGGTGGCGCAGTGGTTGAGAGTCCGCCTGCCGATGCAGGGGACACAGGTTCGTGCCCCGGTCTGGGAAGATCCCACATGCCGCGGAGCGGCTAGGCCCGTGAGCCATGGCCACTGAGCCTGCACATCCGGAGCCTGTGCTCCACAACGGGAGAGGCCACAACAGTGAGAGGCCCACGTACCACAAAAAAAAAAAAAAAATGATTAGCCATAGAATTGAGAAAGGAATTAAGTACATGTTAAAGAAACTCTGTGACACAGTTTTGTCCAGAATTTGTCTGAGTCCCTCCTCAAGCAAATTAGTACAAAAACGAGACCATAAGGTATTAAAGAACATGTAGAATCTTTATTTTATGATTTGCTTCTTTCAACATTACTGCCTAATTTGTAGGTGATCGTGTCCTAGCTGTCAATGGAGTTAGTCTGGAAGGAGCTACTCATAAGCAAGCTGTGGAGACACTGAGAAATACAGGACAGGTAATAGATCATTATACCAACCTTTTCTAGATACCATAAAACATAATAATGTGTGAATAATACCAATTTCACTGAGATCTCCAAATTTATTAGTCAAGAAACAGCCTGATTCGTGTAAACATGCTTGTATTTTTCCCTCCAAACTGGGAAGCAAGTATTATGTTGAGGATTTTTATTTAGGAAGCTGGCTTTCTCTGTCACATTTAGCCCTTATATTACCAGAGATCTGACAGGAGGAAGGAGGCAGATTGCATTAAAAAATTTTTCATAAACATGTACAAATATCTAGTGATTTTCACTTCTAGTTATTTCAGCCCAGAGGCTAAATTCACATTGGTCTAATACATTTTGAGTCAGGGAGTTTACCAAATTATTTATAAAGATCTTTATATTATTAGGTTAGTGGTGATTTTATTTTAATACCTGAATTTTCTATAACATGTTTATATTATTTTTATAATAGAATTTTTTTCTTTCTAATAGTTTATCTTTTTATACAGTTTTCAAAACCTTGATTTTGAAATTTTCAGTCCCTTGCTTTTTCCCTCTATTTTTTTCTCCCTCTACTTGTATTTTGGTAGACCAGGTAGTTACTTTAAATGATTTCATACCATCAACTATACAAAGTCCTGAAAACTTACCTACTTTCTTATAAAACTTTCTTCTAAGTTAATGAAGTACTGTTCTATTTGTCCAGGTGGTTCATCTGTTGTTAGAAAAGGGACAGTCTCCAGCATCCAAAGAACATGTCCCTGTAACCCCACAGTGTACCCTCTCAGATCCAGATGCCCAAAGTCAAGCCCCAGAAAAAATGATGAAGAAAATGACTCACATAAAAGACTACAGCTTTGTTACTGAAGGTCAGACCTTGGGAGACTGTCACCTCACATTAAACTTATTCCTGGATTATTTAAAATGTGATTTTTACATGTTGGATCACAATTCATACCTGGGTCTCTTTATTTATTCTTGTCAAGTGTAAATAATAATCTGATGCAGCACTATACTAAATTAAAAAAAAAAAAACAGACACGTTTGTAGCTGTTGAAGTCTGAAAGGCTTTGGATAATGAAATCATGCGCAAAGCAAATTATGGTCATTTAATAGTGCCTTAAATAGTTGTCAAATTCAAAATAAAATTTGTACAGGAAAAATATAAATAATTGCTGAGAATGGCTTCAAACCCATATGAAACCTTGACTCTTACATTTTTTATATTTCTGTTTAATTGTATGGACTTGTGAAGCTAAGCCTGGGCAGAAATTCACTAACAGTTCCCAGATACTGGTTTTTCTTACAAACTTTGCTAGCCTTTGGACATACCACTAATTGGAAGTAAAATAAGGAAATTAAGACTGATGTGGTAGTGAGTTTTTCATAAGGCTGAATGTGTTCATAATACGGAAGTGCCCTCTGAGTCCATCTATCTTCCTTTTGAGGTTATAAATGTCCTTTACTTTATAAATGGTAGTGGTGGTATTTGGTCATTGTTTTGTCTTTATTTTAAATTTTTCTTTGATTATACAAATGTTAGCAACTCTGAATTATTCTCCAAAATAAAAAGAAAATATTAGCCCAAGCTATATTATTTTTCCTGATTATGAAAATAAAATTAGTGTATCCACTTAATCTCACTGCCTTACGTTCTTTATTTCTTCCATTACTCTTTCTCTAAATATGTTTTTCATGCTTTCCGGGTTATTGTTCTTTTAATTTCTTTTGTTGATGAGAATTTTATCACAATGCTTTGCAATTTTCTGGATTAAATTGTACCTCACCTAAATATTAGAAGGTCACCTCACTTGCCCTTAACCCTTCTCTATCATCTGTTTTGCTCTTCTTACCATCTCTTTCCCATTGTATACCTGAATTTCTCTTATTCTTCTCCTTTCTTGTTTTTTTCCCTCTTTTTCTCTGTCATTGTACAGTTTTATAAAACATATGGAATTAAAACATAGTTTCATTTTCAGAACCCTTATTTCAGAACCCACTTTTCTGTTCAAACAGCATATTAGTTCATGCAGCTTAAGTTTTCTTAATAATAGAGAGTGTGAAATAGGATTTAAATATAGAATAAGCATACAATAATTGCATATAAAGCTGTAAATATGGTGGAAATGGGCTTTTTAAAATGTATCTAAAAGTATATATGTTTATATGTTCATATGTATACACAGCCTGTTAAGAATATTTACTTTCTTTATTTTTTTTTTTTTCTCCAGAGAATACATTTGAGGTGAAATTGTTTAAAAATAGCTCAGGCCTAGGGTTCAGTTTTTCTCGAGAAGATAATCTTATACCCGAACAAATGAACATCAGCATAGTAAGGGTTAAAAAGCTTTTTCCGGGACAGCCAGCAGCAGAAAGTGGACAAATTGATGTGGGAGATGTTATCTTGAAAGTGAATGGAGCCTCTTTGAAAGGACTGTCTCAGCAGGTGAGCCCCCAGCATGTAGAGTGCAGCATTTTTAATGAGTTAGATTGGCTTTTCAGAATGATGTTCATAATGCTGGTTTAACTGTATCTTCATTTCTCACTCATGGTACCCACAGGAAGTCATATCCACTCTCAGGGGAACATCTCCAGAAGTATCCTTGCTTCTCTGTAGACCACCACCTGGTGTGCTACCAGAAATCGACCCTGCTCCTTTGGTGAGACTTAGGAAAAGTAATTTCTATATTTACAGAGTATCAATTGAATGATTAAGTCAGTTGTAGTGGTTTCATCATAGTTTGATCTCCTGGGTTTCATCCTAGTTACTTCTTTAGCTAGGAGTATTATCTTGTGTGGGTCTCATAATCTCTGAGTGTAATCTATGTTTGTAATATAAAGTAATTTAGTTCACTTTCTCTTCTCTCCCTTCCAATTCTAAGATTCTAGGATTCTAGGATTTTAGGAATTTATTTTCCAAACATAAATACAAAAAGACATAAAACAATGGCTACAAAAACCTTTTGTCCATTTCTTCATTGAATCAAATTTGGAAATGTAATCCTCATTCTGAGCTAGTTTAGATGAAAATGAGAATTATTTAAGATTTTTTGCCTTAACTTTTAATACTAGAAATCACATATGCAGTATGTTTGTCCATTTCCTTTCTTATGTTAAGGAATAGCTAAAGGATCCAAAATCTATTTTGATGGTTATTTATACATTGCATACTGATAGGTGGGAATCCATACATAGATGAATAATAATCTAACTGAAAGACAGCCTCTGGCCTGTCTACTTAAAATAGTGCTCCGTTACCAATGAACATGATACCTGTGTATGAAAGGCAGGAGTGTCTGACCCCAGAAACTTTAACCCTTATATCCGGGAGAAGGAGGGAGTATTATAAGGACATTAACAGGAAAGTAACATTTCTGTAAGGTGCATTATAAATAGCATTTTAAGAGACTACATTGATTTTGGGAACCAGATAGAAAGAACTGAGTGGAAATTTCTTGAGTATGTAAATTGATATGATCTTTCTGGAAAGCAATCTGGAAATATTTAACAAGGCCTTTAAAAATATCTTACGTGCTGAATATAGAAAATTCTATTTCTGTTACAGGAAATTACAAGGAAATAATGAGAAACTCAGGTGAAAATCTACATACAAAGAAGTTCTAGATTTCTATTTATAGTGAAAAGCTAGAAACAACTCTGTATCCAATAAAAGAATTCTGAAATAAATTAAAGCTATAGCCATCTGTAAGATTATTATATGGTTTATGCAGTTGTTTTCAAAGCATATTTAAGGATCTCAGAAGATACTCATGGTAGAAACCTAAATTTTGAAAGCAGGGTACAAAGTATGATATTAATATATACTGTAACTCTAATTATGAATGAAAGTATAAGTTGTACAATATTAACAGCTGTTACTTTTATATATGATTTTTTTCTCTAATGAGAGAAAAAATAACATTTTTTTGTTAGTAAAAAAATGAATATTTTAATAGGAAGTGCTTATGTTTAACACGTTCATTTTCAACCAAATGAAAATATAAGTTAATATAAGTTGTCACACTCTGATCTCTTTAAATGTGTCCATTACAGACCCCACTGCACTCTCCAGCACAAGTACCTCCAAACAACAACAGTAAAGACCCTCTTCAGACAGCATGTGTGGAGCAAGGCACCAGCTCAGATGAAAATGAAATGTCTGACAAAAGCAAGAAACCATGCACGTCCCCATCCAGGAGAGACAGTTATAGTGACAGTAGTGGGAGTGGAGAAGACGACTTAGTGAAAGCTCCAGCAAAGATACCAAACATGAGCTGGAGTTCAGCTTTGCATCAGACTCTAAGCAACATGGTGTCACAGGCACAAAGTCAACATGACGCACTTATGAGTCAAGAAACTACCATTTGTACCATGTTTTACTATCCTCAGAAAACACCTAATAAACCAGAACTTGAGGACAGGTATTGTCAATATTATGTGTAGCCCTCAAAGCAGCTGGTTAGTGTTAGTAACAAGAGCAGCCACCTCCATTTCTCTAAGAATGAAATGTGTCTATCTGTGAACCTCACAATCGTTAGGCAGAAGGTGACTCTATTGGATATCTAGCTATTGTGTCTGACAGTTTTAGTTAGCACACTCTCTACCCATTTGACCTGAGCCTTGCTGCTCTTTTGAGCATATTAACTAGTAATTAAGAAAGTTTTTTGTATTTCACCATCATTCATATTACTTACCAGAAGGAGAACAGACTTATTTTGATAGTGATGGGATAGAAGAATAAGGAGTAGACATATAAAGGGAAGCGGTAGGGAGGAAGTGGGTAGAGAGTTTGCAAAAGGTAGGACATAAAAGAGTACTGAAGCGGGGGACAGAAGAAATGATCGAAAGCATAGAGGAATACAAAGGGAAAGACTACATCTATACCTATGAGAGTTATTCAGACATTTTATGGTTTAGCTACAATTTTGGGTATATTCAGGTCCAACTATCTATATGTTCAAGTTTTTTTTGTTGTTTTTTTCCTATTGTGTCATCCAAAATAACTACAAGAATAAGACTTACTCTTTTCTTATTTCTTCCTTTTTCTTATGTTGAAACACACATTAGGCTTCTGATAACATTAGCTTCAGCCTTGAATTAACAACTAGGAGTCAAAAGTATTACCTATTTAGGGCTTCCCTGGTGGTGCAGTGGTTGAGAGTCCGCCTGCCAATGCAGGGGACACAGGTTTGTGCCCCGGTCCGGGAAGATCCCACATGCCGCGGAGCGACTGAGCCCGTGAGCCATGGCCGCTGAGCCTGCGCGTCCAGAGCCTGTGCTCCGTAAGGAGAGAGGCCACAACAGTGAGAGGCCCGCATACCGCAAAAAACAACAACAAAAAAGTATACCTATTTAACTTTTCATACTGATTTTTGCAGCTTAACGAGGTAGACAGAGAATAAGAATCAGTAATGTTGGCATAGAACAGATGTGAAATAAATTCATAGTCCAGAATCAGACAAAAAGTAGCTTAGGATCTCAATAAAAAGCAAACATAAATATTTGTTGAGCATTTTCTGTTTGTGGCACAAACTTACTATATTGACATTGCAATGTGTTTGAAAATAGTCTTACTTTGTCTCTGTAGTAATCCTTCCCCTCGACCACCCCATGTAACTCCTGGGCAGAGTTGTCAATCTCAGTCAGAATCTGCTTCCACTAATGCAATGGATAAATATCATAAATGTCATACTTCTGAGCCAACTAGACAGGAAAGCTTGACGTCTTTGAAAAATGACTTGGAAAACCACCTTGAAGACTTTGAACTGGTGAGTTATTTCCTTTGTATGAAGAAAATTCCATATTTTCTCAAGTAAAATGTAGTCCTCCACAGTTTCCCTTTAGGGAAAAGGCTGTGTTTTAGATTAGCCTCATATCTATGTTCAGTAAATAGATAACATATCTGGCTGGTATGTTTCTCTGCTGAGAATTAGGGAAAAAGACCTGAGTATAAATCCTGACTCTACCACTGACTTGCTGTTGTTTGGCAAGTGCCTATGGACAAATTACTTAATCCTCTGAGTCAGTAGTTTTAGCTCTAAAATGAGACTAGTAACCTCATAGTATTGTGGTGAGGATTAAATGAAATAACATATGTAGAGCACCTAGCACAGTACCTGTTATTTCCCAAATTCTGATGAGTTACCTGTTTAATTTTTAATCAAGTTTGAATGTAATTTTATTCTCCTCCACACTGTTTTATGGGTGCCTAAATGGAATCCTTTTCTTTACTAATAGCCCTAGAACTTCTAAAGCTACAAATTCAGTTTGGAAGCCAGCCAAATTTCCAAGAATAATATGCTTAACACTGATTCAAAATCACCCTTTTTCAATACTGTTTTTTTTTTGTTACCTAAGTAATAAATATTTATTATAGGAAAATTAGAAAACAAAAATTAAAACCACCTATAATCTCACCATTCAAAAACCATTAACATTTTGGAGTTAATCTTTCCAGATACTTCATTTTCCTATAATTGCGTGTGTGTGTGTGTGTGTGTGTGTGTGTGTGCGCGTGTGTATGTGTGTGTGTGTGTAGCATCTACATCTTCAACTTCATTCTCAGCAACAGAGTGAAAATAATCTTTGAACGATTTCCTTAGAAGTCTGTCATCATGCCTGTAAGCTGTAAGCAACCTTATCTCAATTGAAATCTTAAAAAAAAAATTATACAACTAAATACCTCAAGTTGTGATATTTAGTCACCCAGACTTCATGTATTTACCCCCCAAAAAACTTTCTTTTGTTGCTCTTGGCATGGGTGTTTGTCTCTGTTTGTTCTGAAAATACAAGAATTGAAGCATGAGTAAGTTCTGTCTCAGCTATCTCTAGACAAGCACATAATGTTGAATTTAAACTCAACTCTTACATGGGCAGGGAGGCATTTTCTAGAATTGGACATACCTGGCTTCTTCACTTGGGCAAGTTAAGCAACCTTTTAAGGTGTAGTGTCCTCCTGTGTTAATCAATGGAAATATTTGTCTTTCTCTTTGCCTTTACAGCAAAATAGACAACCTAAAAGAATCACTGTTTTCTTCCCTTAGGAGATGATAGAACTCCACATTACCCTAATTAAGTCGGAAAAAGGAAGCCTGGGTTTTACAGTAACCAAAGGCAATCAGAGTATTGGTTGTTATGTTCATGATGTCATTCAGGATCCAGCCAAAAGTGATGGAAGGCTAAGACCTGGGGACCGGCTCATAAAGGTGAGACATTTAAACAGACTCTATTTGTGCAAATGTGACCAGAGATCAATCCAGGACCGAAGAAGGAAAAGCAAGAAGGTTGAGTTAATATAATACTCTATTTCACTGCTTGGTTTATGTTTTCCTTCTCCACCTCTTAAAAGTAAAGGCCTTTATATAGTAATAATTTGGAAAATGCTTAATCTCAGTTAAGGCATTAAACAAGCTATCTTGGGTCTCAGGAAGAGAAAGTTTCTTAAATTGCTATAAGAATAAATTTTCTGTATTAGCAAAGTAATGACATTTGTTAGGTATTTTACATTATTATTTCATTTATAATTACTTGATCATTGTTCATGATTTCCACAGTAGAGGGGATTACCAATAAACTAGAGACCGTTCTTTATTGTGAATCTCCTACTGGCTAAAATAAATTATATAAAAAGTTAGGGAAATTACTGTATTTTGTTGGCAACTTCTGTGTTCCAGTAATTGTAATCCTACTTTGCCCCATTCTCATTTTTATAGGTTAATGATACAGATGTTACAAAAATGACTCACACAGATGCAGTGAATCTACTCCGAGCTGCACCCAAGACAGTCAGATTAGTTCTTGGCCGAGTTCTAGAATTACCCAGGATGCTAATGCTGCCTGATTTGCTACCTGACATTACATTTACATGCAACAAAGAGGAGCTGGGTAATGCAAATTCAAGTTTTGTGCAGTGTGATTTTTCTTGGCTAGATTAAGAGTAAGTACTGTTAAGACTAAGGAAACAAATATTTTTCTGTTCCCTAAAGGTTTTTCCTTATCTGGAGGTCACGACAGCCTTCATCAAGTGGTATATGTTAGTGATATCAATCCAAGGTCAGTTGCAGCCACTGAGGGTAATCTCCAGCTCTTAGACATCATCCACTATGTGAACGGAGTCAGCACACAAGGAATGACTTTGGAAGAAGCTAGGAGAGCATTAGACATGTCACTGCCTTCAGTGGTGCTGAAAGCAACAAGGTACTCTACAATTATTCACGGATTTTGTTTGTGTGTGCACATGCATTTCAGGCCATTAAAAGACACTAGGTTTTCTTAAAGATATTCCTGAATTAGTAATTCACAGACTAAGTGAATGGGGGTTAGTAATTTATGTGTTTCCTTCATAGTAGTCAAATGTCTGTGCCAGTTTTCATGCCTCGCACCTGCATCCCACACTATCCAGAGCAATCCTCAAACAGGTCTCAGCAATCACTGTAGTAAAGTAAGGGCTGTGTGCTGATTGCCTTAGACCTAAATTAAGACCAGCCCTGATGAGGAAAAGGGATAAGAATGTATTGACTGGCCCAGGCCAGTCCTGGCCGATTCCCAGAGCTGGGACATGGTCAGTCCTACCTGAAAGTCATGTCTACAACCAATGGGGCATAGACCATCACATTCACTGTACCTCATGACAATTTCACGTTATAAAAAATGCTAATAGCAACTTTTCTTTCACTTAATGGAAATAAATTGAAAAAAAATATGTATTAGTTTCTCTTTTTTTAATGTTTTTATTTATTTGGCTGCATTGGGTCTTCATTGCGGCATGTGGGACCTTTTGTTGCAGCACTCGTTGAGGTGCTCATTGCGGTGCATGGGCTCTTTGTTGCGGCGCCCAGGCTTCTCTAGTTGTGGCATGCGGGTTTTCTCTTCTCTAGTTGTGGTGCAGGCTCCAGGGTGTGTGGGCTCTGTAGTTTGCAGCAGGTGGGCTCTCTAGCTGAGGTGTGTGAGCTCGGTAGTTGTGGCACAGGGGCTTAGTTGCTCCGCGGCATGTGGGATCTTAGTTCCCCAACCAGTGATTGAACCCGTGTCACCTGCACTGGAAGGTGGATTCTTTACCACTGGACCACCAGGGAAGTCCCTATGTATTAGTTTCTTACTACTATTAAATTACTACAAATTCTTTGTCCTAAAATCAAGGTGTTGGCAAGCTCCCTTCCATAGGCTCCAGGAGAAAATCCATTTCCTTGCTTTTCCAACTTCTAGACATTGCCCATATTCCTTGGTTCATAGCCCTTTGCCATCTTTAAAGCCAGCAATCACAGCACTCTCTGCTTTGGTCGTCACATCTTTCTGACTCTGACATTCCTATCTCTCTGTTTAACTTATAAGGACCCCTGTGATTACATTGGGCCCAGCCAGATAATCCAGAATAATCTCCTCATCTCTAGATCCTTAATTTACTCGCATCTGCAAAATTCCTTTTGCCATGCAAGATAACATATTCAAAGGTTCTGGGGATTATAATGCAGACATCTTTGGGGGGCCGTTACTCCGCCTGCCACATGTACATGAACTCGGGCTTTCTAGATTACGGTCTATGTTACATAAGAGAAAACTTCACATTTGTATCTGCGATACAAGGTGAGTTTTATATAGTATGTCATCCAAAATATAGAAACTGTTAATTAAATCGTTTGATCATAAACCCATTTTTCCTTCTGAACCTTTAAGTTAGATTGTATACTTTTTCCCTTGAACATAACCCCTGACCGGTTTTCTTCAATATTTCTAAAAATTAGATTGGCATACAGTTATTTTCATAGGTGTACCTAAATGTTAATTAGTGGAGGAGGAGAGTGTTCAAACAACCTGGAAAATGTTTTTATGAAAACATTTCTGCTAACCATAGATCTAGATGAATTTTTTGCCTCCAAATCACTAGAGCAGCCCTTACCCTAGGTCTAAAATCAGTTTCTTTTCTCTTTCTACTTTTATCTTTGCTGAAGTCAGTACAGTACAGTAGTAGCTGTAGATACAGTAGATACAGTAGTAGCAGTCATAGTTACCTTACCCTTCATTCTTCTTCCAGCTCTCTCTCCTCTGTTGTTTTATTTCTGCCCTCTTTTAAGTCCACAGGGGGGCTTTCCTGGTGGCACAGCGGTTAAGAAGCTGCCTGCCAACGCAGGGGACACGGGTTCGAGCCCTGGTCTGGGAAGGTCCCACATGCCGTGGAGCAACTGAGCCCACTAGCCACAACTACTGAGCCTGTGCTCTAGAGCCCGCAGGCCACAACTGCTGAGCCCATGTGCCACAACTACCGAAGGCTGCGTGCCTAGAGCCCGTGCTCCGCAACGAGAGAAACTACCACAATGAGAAGCCCGCGCACCGCAAGGAAGAGTAGCCCCCGTGCGCAGCAACAAAGACCTAATGCAGCCAAAAATAAAATAAATAAATTTATTTAAAAATTAAAGAAATAATAAAGTCTACAGGGTAACAGTAATAGAGGGTTGTATACTTGTGGTAATTATTTGTCAAGAGCTGTAAAGTGTCTGTAATTTTACCCTATTTGCAAACTAATAAACTAGCCAGTTATTGTTTTATGAATGCTGGTAGAAGATATGAAACTCCTGTATCGGAAACAAAAGACCTTATTACTAAAGGCACAGCAAGCAGCATGAGCATGGTATTGGTGTCGGTTCCCATGTCCTCCAAGTCCCATGGAGATGACATATGTGGGCCTAGTGGGTTTCTGTACATGCAGTGGGTTATAGTACAGGAGAAGAGTACTGTAAGAAGAGCCAGGGAACCCACCACTTTATAGCAGCCTGTAAGAAAGCTTGCATTTTGTTTGGGTAGAGAGATTACATAATTCCTCAAGCTTGCTCACCATGAACATAGCCTTGAGAATTGGCCCAGATAAAAAGTGGTTAGAGCCTTTGCATTTCTGAGGTACCCAGCAAGAACATACAGGGTTGCTTAGGACCCATGGCTGATTGCCTCTCCCAACACTGTATACCTTAGGCAACCTCCCTTTTCTTTCAAGTATTAGCAACAATAAAATCACATTCTAATACTCTTCCAAGGTGCTGTCTCTTGACTGTTTTTCATGTTGGGTTGTACTATTCTTATAATGCTTTGAATATATATATTTTGTCTAGATTTTCACTTAAAGTAATTCCAAAGAAAAACACATATCAGGGGCTTTAGATAGGCAAAACTTAGTGATCTGTGACTTCTGAGTGTGGTTATCTTTGAACTATCACCTGAGTGACAGTGAACTAAGTTATTAGATCATGAATATTACCAGTGTTTTAAATGAGAGGGGAAATATGGTGATGTATTGAACTGAAACCCAAGAAAGATTATGTAAAGAAGTGATTCTTAATCTTTTTTCAGTCAAGAATGTCTCCCTCAACCATGTATAGATGAACCCTGATAAAATTTTGTCTGCAGCTTCAGGAAGTACCTAGACCCCCTGAAGCCCATCTAAAATAAAGTTCCTGAGGCTAAATAGTTAACAGATGGCTTGAAGGATATTTAAACAAACATCTTAAATAATTTGCAATTGCATTTTGTTTTGTTTTGTTTTTTGTAAACAACACAGAAATGGTCATCCAGTGGTTCCCAGTTCTAAGATGTCTGCTGTTTCAGCTCCAAAGTCAGCCAAAGCCAATGGTAAGGATATAGTCATTTTATGACAGTAAGTAGTTATAGAGAGGTAACTATTTTTTTCCCCAAAAGCAAGTTTGGATACTATCACCAAAATGTTTTTATTGCCCTTCCAGACTGTTTTGCAGGATCTGAGTGAAAAAATTACACTTAAATAAAAGCATCTCTAATATTCTGTGCATAATAGGAAAGAGTAGAGCAGCATGGCATTTAAAGCCAGATAGAACTGAGTTTACAAGTCCTGTGTAACCTTAGCAAGTTACTTGATCTGTATCTAAGCCTCTATTTTCTGCCAGTAAAATAAGAACATTAATAGTATCTATCTGTTAAGGTTATAATGAGACATAAATACAATAATATACTTACCACAATGATTGTCACATAATTTATTCAGACAGTTACTAAATTTCTTCTTTATGCCAGGCAGTGTTCTGGGCATTGTGAATATAGCAATGAGTAAACAAAGTATCTGTATATTCTAGCATAGTAATAGAAATTGTAATCTTAATAGTTGTGGCAGCAAACATTAATTTAATGCTTTTTCTGGACTAAGCATTCTTCTAGGCGCTCAAATCCTCACAGCAACCCTGTGAGACTAGTATTACTATTATCCTCCTTTTATAGAAGGGGAAACCAAGGCACAGAAAAGTTTGATAACTTGCCCAAGCTACAGGGTTAATAAATAGTCAAGCCAGAATTTAAACCTAGGATGTCTGACTCCATGCTCTCATTTACATAATCAGCTCAGTAAATGTAGCTTTTATTGATACAGGGGAATGTGGTTGAACTTAAAGAGTATTTGAAATGTAAATCCAGTACTTCTTAGTACTTCTTATATAACTAAACTTTTAGGTTATCAGGCAGTAGTATCCAAATACCAAAATAGCTAAAAGAAATCTGCCAATTGCAGTTGTAGTTTGATTATCTTTGTTCTCTGTTGTTACCTGAATGCCTTAGGGGTCCTTCTTGCTGCTTTCTAATAGTTCTGGTTCACATAAGAGTCAAACTACTTCACAGAACAGTCAGGAGAGCATTTTTCTAGTGACCTCTGAGAACACTCCTGTTTGTAACTTTCAAGGCAGAGGAGGGTAGCTGTGCCCTGCCCCCTTGTAGAAACTGCCTAGTAATCTGTCTTTATGGGATTCTCAGGCCTAATTTCTTTATGAATTCTGAAAATCACATAGTATCAGTAATAGGAACTCTCTTGTAGTGATGAAAATGTAAAATGGTACAACCATTTTGGAAAACAGTTTGACAGTTTCTAAAAAATTTAAACATATGCCCACCATATGATCCAGCCGTTCCACTCCTGTTTGTTTACTAAAGAGAAAACAAAGCATATATTCATACACAAAAACTTGTACAGGAATTTTTTAGCAGCTTTCTTTGTAATAACCAAAATCTGAAACCACTCAAATGTCTAAAATCTGTTGAATGAATAACCATTTGTAATATATCCAAGCAACAGAATACTACTCAGCAATAAAAATGAATAGACTGTTGATACATGCAGCAACATAATTAAAATAAAATAGGTATGCTGAATGAAAGAAACCAGACCAAAAAAAGAATCCATATTGTATTATTCAATTTATACAAGATTGTACAAAAGTGCAAATTAATCTATAGTGACAAAGGAGATCAGTGGTTGCCTGGGGACAGAGGGGGAGAGAGGAACAGGGGGAACAGATGGGAGAGATTACAAATAATAAACTATTGTGCTTTATACTATTCCAGTATGATTCTTTTGAACCAGTGGTTCATTTTTGGTATACTTTTTAATTATTTTTCCTGGTAGTTTAATAAGGTATCTCCTGGAAATAATGAATCTAATTTTTAACTGTAGGGGAAACAATATCATTTTTAATATATGTATTGAATTTTTGTGCTGATGTCTAAGAGTTAAAATCCACATTTGGTTTATAAATATACTAAAAGTCCTTTCCAGTTGTATCCATACTTATTTTTCTGTGTTAAATTGATAGTCTTTTTGAAATGAGATAAAGGACCTGCTATCTTTCCAATGACTATATAGTTCAGCACCTGTAATGTCTCTTCCATTTAGTTGGGAAAATCTATATTTAGTGTCTCACACTAGAAACATTTAGCCCAAACTGAGCTTTTATGCAAACTATTTTCTTTTAAGAAATTGGCTTTGTCCTTGGAATAAACCCTTCTCTAATATTTGATTCCATTTAGTTGATTTTAATCACTTTGTGATATGACCTCTCTTAGTGTATTAATAAAAATAAGAACATGCGCAGAAATACGGGTTTTCTTTCACTATTTTGTTGTCCCTAATGTGGTTCTGAGTGGCTCATCCTTTTCTTTCTGTTCTTCCTTCAGGTCATCACATTGTGGAGCCTTGTGGCAAACCGGCCCTCACACCTAATAACTCATTCTCCAAGGTAAGTGAAAAGCCACCTTCTTTGTGTCCTACTTCCTTATCTAAATAAGTAGCTTGTTTGTATTTTGAACCAAACTGATTTCATATTTAAATATTTGCCTTTTTTAGACACATGTATTGATTTTTAGATACATGTACTTAGTGAACTAATAGGACTTACTAAGTAACACACAATGAAAAGCCCCCACACAAGTAACCCTACATCATCGGGCACACATTCAGCTCTTAAATAGGCTGATTACTTATATAGATAGCTTTAGTGCTGGGATTTTTTATTAATATGCACAGTTCTTTTGGTTGTCTCTTAGATACCCAGAAGAGAAAAATGTAATTAAGAGTGGGTTAACATTGACCAGCAGTGACTCTCAAATGACAGATCTCTGCTACTAGTGAGGCAAAACTGTAGTGGCAAAAGAAATAGGCTTACTTGCTTTTTTAAAGACATAGAAAATGCTTTACTACATAATAAAATGAAATAACCTAAATCATTTAAGATTATCACAGGGAAATCTGGAGGTGTTTTAACAAAAATATTTTAATACGTAACTAAATTCCACTTTCAAGCTCTTTATTTAAGGCTACATTTATACCCATTTGTTTGGCTAACATTTCTTTTTACTTTCTGGCATGTAATATACACAGCTTCCAGCTGGATCTTCATTTCATGGAACTGTTTTATCTCACACGTATCTCATGCAATCTATTCTGAACCTCACTACTCAAATATCTTTCCACTTAAAATCCAGAGCTGAGGCATTTCCCTCCTAGTAATCTGAAAATCTTATCAGCTCAACAAGATTTCTGGAATTAGAACTTTTGTTATTCGTGATTGTAAACATTTTTTGTTGGAGTTAAAATCTTCCAGGAAGTCTCCTAAATGATATTCTGTCCTTGAATACTAATGTCTGTACTATGAATTTCTCATGAAGAGTGGAATTTTACAATCCAGTGAAATTTTTTGACATTATGTAACCATTATTTATGAAGAGATAATTTCATTGCATCTACTATCTCTACCTTTTATCTTTTTTATTCTTAATATCTTTATTAGAGTATAACTGCTTTACAATGGTGTGTTAGTTTCTGCTTTATAACAAAGTGAATTAGTTATACATATACATATATCCCTATATCTCTTCCCTCTTGCATCTCCCTCCCTCCCACCCTCCCTATCCCACCTCTCTAGGTGGTCACAAAGCACCAAGCTGATCTCCTTGTCCTATGCGGCTGCTTCCCACTAGCTATCTATTTTACGTTTGGTAGTGTATATATGTCCATGCTACTCTCTCACTTTGTCCCATCTTACCCTTCCCCCTCCCTGTATCCTCAAGTCCATTATCTATTAGGTCTGCATCTTTATTCCCGTCTTGCCCCTAGGTTCTTCATGACCTTTTTTGTTGTTGTTTTTTAGATTCCATATATATGTGTTGGCATACAGTATTTGTTTTTCTCTTTCTGACTTCACTCTGTATGACAGACTCTAGGTCTACCTTTTATCTTAACAAAAAAAGTAAAATCTTTAAAGCAAACCACGCTTTATTTGTATAAAATTATTTTAATTTATTCTAATCATTTAATACTGCATTTTGCCCTAATCATTTTTCTTTTAATAGGTTACGTGCCATGAAGTGCTTCACAATTAACCATTGAATTTAAAAGTTACATTCCATTTAATTAGTACTTTATAGTTATGAATCCATTGCTATTTTCCTTAAATTGAGATGAGGTTTAGACTAGATTTGAAAATCTTTATAGCCAACAGTTGATCAGATTGCTAAACTGAAGACTATGTCCATGTAACAACTTCACAAATACTTAAAAGATTGACTTTTTTCTCATTTCCCTGAACTTCTTAGTAGGTCTATTTAACTTTTTGAAGAAGTTCTATGGAAGACAGATCCCATAGAATATGCCTTAAAAAGAGATTTCTGCGGTCAAATAAATTTAGGAAATACTACATAATACATTTCTCTTTTGGCAACTCAAAATTTATATTAGTAAGCATTGTGAGAATTCTTGGAATAAAAATATTGATTTAATGTTGCTTAATCTAGTGTTTCCAGGCATATCTGATGATGGAAAGTCCCATACCCTTTGCATATTTCATTGCACTGGTATCTCCTAGAAGCACTGATCCAAGGTGGGGAGATATAAAAAGGGTTTTGTACCGAGAAAGAAGGGGAGAAGGACATGGAGGGACAGTGTGCAGTCCCTTCCTAATCCTGGATGTTGGTAAAATAGAAAACTAATGATTTGCTTTGGTTTTATACTTTAGGTTAATGGGAAAGAAATAATTGAAATTTTGTACCCTGAAAGAAAATGTTCTACTTATCAGATGAAGGAATCAGCAGACCTGATTCTATCCAAAGGTAGTTTCCCAAATCGAGTCATCCAGTTACTCTAAATGCCCTAATAATTCAAGTAATAAAGAAATGTTGGCAGCCTTTCTTATTTGCCTTACATGTTCCAGTAGCTTTAAAAGGAAAGATTATTGTTCAGAGAAATAAAAGAACAGCGTAAAATTAATATTAGCTGCACTACTGTACAAATGTCCAGTATTCATTCTCATCTCTAAGATTAAAATGATTTTTAAATGATTGAAGAGATAGCAGTTTTGTTTGATAATTGTTTCTTGTATTTTTTTGAAGCAGCAATTCACTGGCTACCTAATAACTGAGACATTTTTTCTTGGGGATGTTTGGGCTGCCCTATTTGGGCTGCCTTAATCTTTGTAACATAACTTCTTTGGTTGAAATTTCTTTAGTTTCTTTTATAAATTAACAATTTGGGATTAAGTTAGGGAAATAAACATTAAATTATTAATGTCCTTTGAAAAGGTGTATCATAGAGATTGATTTTGGTTTATTCAGTTGCATTTGTGTGGTCTTTTGTCATAACAGCCAAAGTAGCTCTAGAACTAAAAATGCCTGGGTCCCATTAGTGTAAACCACTTTTCCTGTCATGGCTGGTTTTTCAAAGTGGATGCTTAAAATTTGAAAGACCTGGCATATTATATTTGACACATTGTCTCTTTCTCATACCAATATTTTTTAAAGTAAAATCCCATGTAAATTACTGTTTTTCAAGAATCTGATGTACAAGAAGATGATATTTATGATGATCCTCAAGAAGCTGAAGTTATCCAGTCTCTGCTGGATGTTGTGGATGAGGAAGCTCAGAATCTTTTAAACCAAAATAATGCAGCACGAGATGCCTGTGCTCCAGGTAGATGAACCAGAATGAGTAAGTTGGTACACGGAAGGAGTACAGGAAGGCCTCTACAGAGCATTTTAATTCCTCTTGGCCTATTTCTTTCCCAGGTGCATTGAAAACCAGTGGGAAGTTATGTGAAGAGAGAGCAGAAGATACAGACTATGATGGTTCACCTTTACCTGCAGAGTTTACGGAGGTAAGGATAATACCTAGGTAAACACTCTGTGATGCTATATCTTGTTAGAATTCTCTGATGAGGCCTTACCTCTCCCTACCTACCAGTTTCCCTTCTAAGTATTAAAGATAATATCCTGATGGCTGGTTAGTAACCTCAGTAAGAATTAGAACTGATGTCATTTACTCATTTTGGAGAAAACTTGCCTTTAAATCATTTAGCCTCTTTTGGTGAAGGTTTCCATTCAGGAAAATAGTGCCCAAAAATCTTTTTTTTTTTTCTTTTTTTGCATCTTCATTATTATTACACCAAATCAAAGTTGGTAATTCCAAGATCCCATTCCAGTTAATACCTAACCTAGGTAGAAAACTTGATTTTTATCCTTGAGTGCTTGTTTTCTTCTGCCCCTCATGGATCCTTGGTCTTAATTATCATGGAAACATCTCATTCTTTCATTTATTCCATGGCTTTTGCTCTGATTGCTCTGCAATTTCAGTTGAGACATGTTTTAAAAGATTTAGACAGCTAACATTCATAATACATTAAACTAGTTGGATGCAAACTAGTAAAAATAAGCTGTACAGGAATTAGTGCTTAATATATAGTATATACGTTTGTTAAAATCTTTAAAAAAATAAAACCCCAACGTTGGAATCATCTGAGATTAATTTTATTTTTTGCATTTAAGAGTCATCCTATGCCAGGGAAAGAATTACTATTCAAGTTTCCCCAAGCCAAAAAAAAAAAGAAGAAGGAAGAGAAAGAAACAATTAATTTTCAAAAATGTAATCATAGACTTATTTAAGACTAAGACTTCAGATCTTCTGGGACATTGAGCTGACTAAGAAAAAAGCATGAAATAGTAGATAAATAATATGTAAGCCTGCTCAAACTAGGCATCACCCTTATTTATATGAATCTGATCTTGCCCATTGTTCTAGGATAATTTCCCTCACAAGGCTTCTGATTCTTCCTATTGAACACCTTCAAAATTGTCAAAACTAAGCTCGTCTGGATTCTTACCAGGCATGTACCCACACACAATCTCATATACACGTGATTATTTTCATTAAATACTTATATATAATTAATGTATGTAAATACAAGGAAGCTTATATCTGTTTTAGTATGTATTTCCTAATCTAAAAAAATGATTACACAAATATTAAATAGCTCACAATGTATCATGCTGTAGTGTTTTTAAGTTATTGTTCTTTTGTACTACCTAAATATTAATAATTATAACAATAAGCTCTTTGAAAAAGATTTTCTGAACACTTTAAATCATACCAATCATATTTTTATTAATACTATTTAAAATACCCCTTAAAATGTATGTTCTGAAGTCTCTTAACTAAGACAGTAAATAAAAATCTTTAATATCCATTTCAAAATCCAATGCCTTTTCTTTAAAAAAAAAAAAGCTTAACATAATATAGATTCTCTTTTACACTGAGCTATTATAACAGAAGTTTATAGCAGAAACCTACATTCAAGTTGCTTTTTTTATTTTGATAACGAAGACACTACATCCTCATTGTAAAAAAAATATTTTAAACAGAATCATTTAAAAATGCAAGCTCCTGGGGCTTACCTGCTGGCACAGTGGTGAGAGTCCACCTGCCAATGCAGGGGACACGGGTTCGTGCCCCGGTCTGGGAAGATCCCACATGCCACGGAGCGGCTGGGCCCGTGAGCCATGGCCACTGAGCCTGCGCGTCTGGAGCCTGTGCTCCACAACGGGAGAGGCCACAACGAGAGGCCCGTGTACCGCAAAAAAAAAAAAAAATGCAAGCTCCTTTTTTTACCCATTCCTCATCTTCATCTGAGATAGCTATTGTTAAAGTATTGGGTTTTACCCTTCTATTATACATATGAAAACATGTAATTTAATATACTTTTTGTCACGTGATTCCAAATTTGATTCTCAGTTAAAATTGATCATTACACTCTTTCCACTAATAGGTAAAAATCTGTCTCATATTTTCTTTTTCTTTTTGAAACTTTAAAATATTTATTAATTCATTTATAATAACAATAATCAACCTATTACATGTCAGCATAAATCACGTTTTTAACAGAAAATATCTGTATTTTCCAAAACGAGAAAATATGTGAGAAGAGTGGCATTGTTTTACGTTAAGTTCTTTTTACATAAATTTACATCACACTTTTTTTATTCAAACAAAGTCACAAAAATTATAATCATCCTCATCAGTTCACTCAGTCCCATGTAATTAATTTTTTTTCATCTTGATCTTTTGTTAGTACTTTTATGAATTCATCAGTTTTCCATTAGAGTTCTGAAAATGCTTATTCATTCAGTTCAGCAGTATAGTCAGTTACCAGAAACCTGTACTTGTCACAGTCTTTTCAATGAATTCCTTGAAGATGAAACCCTTTTATAGGAACATTTTTGCAAAAGCATCAGAGTACACCCAGAACTGTCTGTAAATGACAAAAGACTTAAAAATGGCCACGGTTTAAGATTTGATGAAAGTTCATAATAATGCAATTGACAAGCAAATTTAGGTACTTCTGAGATATATATTTTAAAGTAAACTAGAATTATGACTTATAACATTATACCAGAACCTATAAGATTTTTAGAAATTTCATGTAATGTCTGAAACATTTATATTAACATATTTCCATACAAATAACTCGAACAGAGTTTACTATTCGTTTGTTTTTTTCTAATTTTTGAATTTTATTTTTTTATACAGCAGCTTCTTATTAGTCATCAATTTTATACACATCAGTGTATACATGTCAATCCCAGTTGCCCAATTCAGCACACCGCCATCCCCACCCCACTGTGGCTTTCCCCACTTGGTGTCCATACATTTGTTCTCTACATCTGTGTCTGAACTTTTGCCCTGCAAACCTGTTAATCTGTACCATTTTTCTAGGTTCCACATACATGCATTAATATATGATATTTGTTTTTCTCTTTCTGACTTACTTCACTCTGTATGACAGTCTCTAGATCCATCCACGTCTCAACAAATGACTCAATTTCATTCCTTTTTATGGCTGAGTAATATTCCATTGTATATATGTACCACAACTTCTTTATCCATTCATCTGTCAATAGGCATGTAGGTTGCTTCCATGACCTGGCTATTGTAAATAGTGCTGCAATGAACACTGGGGTGCATGTGTCTTTTTGAATTATGTTTTCTTCTGGGTATATGCCCAGTAGTGGGATTGCTGGATCATATGGTAATTCTATTTTTAGTTTTTTAAGGAACCTCCATACTATTCTCCATAGTGGCTGTATCAATTTATATTCCCACCAAGAGTGCAAGAGGGTTCCCTTTTCTCCACACCCTCTCCAGTGTTTGTTGTTTGTAGATTTTCTGATGATGCCCATTCTAACTGGTGTGAGGTGATACTGTAGTTTTCATTTGCATTGCTCTAATAATTAGTGATGTTGAGGAGCTTTTCATGTGCTTCTTGGCCATCTGTATGTCTTCTTTGGAGAAATGTCTATTTAGGTCTTCTGCCCATTTGTGGATTGGGTTGTTTGTTTCTTCAATATTGAGCTACATGAGCTGTTTATATATTTTGGAGATTAATCCTTGGTCCATTGATTCATCTGCAAATATTTTCTCCCATTCTGAGGGTTGTCTTTTCGTCTTGTTTATGGTTTCCTTTGCTGTACAAAAGCTTTGAAGTTTCATTAGGTCCCATTTGTTTATTTTTGTTTTTATTTCCATTATCCTAGGAGGTGGATCAAAAAAGATCTTGCTGTGATTTATGTCAAAGAGGGTTCTTCCTATGTTTTCCTCTAAGAGTTTTATAGTGTCCGGTCTTACATTTAGGTCTCAAATACATTTTGAGTTTATTTTTGTGTATGGTGTTAGGGAGTGTTCTAATTTCATTCTTTTACATGTAACTGTCCAGTTTTCCCAGCATCACTTATTGAAGAGACTGTCTTTTCTCCATTGTGTATCCTTGCCTCCTTTGTTATAGATTAGTTGATCATAGGTGCGTGGGTTTATCTCTGGGCTTTCTATCTTGTTCCATTGATCTGTTTCTGTTTTTGTGCCAGTACCATATTGTCTTGATTACTGTAGCTTTGTAGTATCATCTGAAGTCAGGGAGTCTGATTCCTCCAGCTCTGTTTTTTTCCCTCAAGACTGCTTTGGCTATTTAGGGTCTTTTGTGTCTCCATACAAATTTTAAGATTTTTTGTTCTAGTTCCATAAAAAATGCCATTGGTAATTTGATAGGGATTGCATTGAATCTGTAGATTGCTTTGGGTAGTATAGTCATTTTCACAATATTGAGTCTTCCAATCGAAGTACATGGTGTATTTCTCCGTCTGTTGGTATCGTCTTTAATTTCTTTCATCAGTGTCTTATAGTTTTCTGCATACAGGTCTTTTGTCTCCCTAGGTAGGTTTATTCCTAGGTATTTATTCTTTTTGTTGCAATGGTAAATGGGAGTGTTTCCTTAATTTCTCTTTCAGATTTTTCCTCATTAGTGTATAGGAATGCAAGAGATTTCTGTGCATTAATTTTGTATCCTGCAACTTTACCCAATTCATTGATTAGCTCTAGTAGTTTTATGGTGGCATCTTTAGGATTCTCTTATGTATACTATCATGTCCTCTGCAGACAGTGACAGTTTTACTTCTTCTTTTCCAATTTGTATTCCTTTTATTTCTTTTTCTTCTCTGATTGCCGTGGCTAGGACTTCCAAAACTATGTTGAATAATAGTGGTGAGAGTGGACATCCTTGTCTTGTTCCTGATCTTAGAGGAAATGCTTTCAGTTTTTCACCATTGAGAATGATGTTTGCTGTGGGTTTGTCATATATGGCCTTTATTATGTTGAGGTAGTTCCTTCTGTGCCCACTTTCTGGAGAGTTTTTATCGTAAATGGGTCTTCAATTTTGTCAAAAGCTTTTTCTGCATCTATTGAGATGATCATATGGTTTTTATCTTCAATTTGTTAATATGGTGTATCACATTGATTGATTAGTGTATATTGAAGAATCCTTGCATCCCTGGG